TACCTAAATTACAGGGGAAATCCTGCAAAACTCTATTGATTTTCTTTCATCCTTGATTTTTTTCCAGTTCATATAGGTAATGATAAGTCATCCTTAATAAGTGAATCCCTTATGAATTACCTTTTCTTAAAAGATGAATTATTCTTTTGTTCTTATCCTGGTGACTTTCACCTCTTTGTTTTAAAACATGGTCACAGACATAATTGAAATGTATAACTTTCTGTCCTAGATCTGAATCTACAAAGCAGAGCTTCCTGAGCTGCTTTTTCTCACAAAAGCCACATAAAAACACTTCTGAAAAAGCTTTTAGTGCTAAAAGAKATACTTTGCATTTCTTCACAACTTCCTACTGAATTATATTAGTTAAGGATTTCAGCATCTGCTTTGTTATACCCATTGCTACGGTTGTAATATTTTCAATTTTTGTTAAGGTCTAACTTGAAAAATTCAGAACACATAAAAAAAGCCCAATTTTTCAAAGGGAAATTTAATTCTTGCTGTATCCATATGGACTGAAAAGCCCTACCACAAGCATATTAGTCCAGGGGTAATTTTTATATAAGCAACCACGGGCATTTGAAAGCATCTTTTTTTTTTCCCCACTTCACTGGGGTTTTCCTGCAGATCTTGACAGAATATGTAGACCCAATTGCAAAACAAGACAAGGTTTTATTTCTTGTGCTGTTATCACAATATTCCCAAGGTTCAACAGTGCTTAAAAAACCAGTTTGTGACTCAAAGGATGGATACTGATCATGAAATCCTCTAAAAGGAAAGATTCTGCAAATAGGAATAGGACATCCAGTGGTTCAAACCATGGTTGAATTAGAAATTATTCTTTGAGAAGGGAAGAAAAATCCCCATAAATTCTCATCCAAGAAAGCCCTCCCCAAGATTTTTGGGAGAAAACATGCCAGAAAAATTGGTAACTCAGCTGCAAAAATATTATTTATATGCATCATTGGATCAAACAAAATTTATTTGGCGTTGCATTATACGTTCCTTTTCTCATGCRGTGAAATGTGAAGATGTTACAAGTCAGCAAATAATCAATGTCTGGTTTCTGTTTCGCTGTGCTTTCTAATTTGTTTTTGCAGACAGTATTCACTTCATTATTAGCAATTTTGTAAATACATGGAAAATTGGTTTACTTGCCTGTTAATTAATATTTTGAAATTCCACATAGAGAATGAAATATGCATAAGAGACTTAGAGAAATCTTTAACTGGATACTATTCCATGTTAACTAGATTTTTAATGCAGTTATGGGACTAATAGWAGTCTCTGGAGCTCTCCTCTTACAAATATAACATATTTATTTTGGTTTGCTTTTGCCTCTGGAGGACCAGGAATTGGGGAAAAGAAGTTTTCCAAGGCTGCAAAAAGGCATAAATCTCTTCTAATCTATATCTGTCTAAACTCCTGGTGTCCATTCTCTCCACTGGAATTGCAAATATTCCTGAGCTTTTCTGATATATATGAGAAAGATCCTGTAAAAAAATCTGGTGTTTTTATTGGAGGCTTCTCCTCTCTCAATGGGTCTAAACCTTGAAAACACATGTTGTTAATCTAAAGGTGTCTGAATGTTTATTAATAATTTCTTATAGGGAGAACTATGGTAATGGTAANAAGTTTAGAAAAGTTCAAAATAGTTCAGTTTACATAGAAAAAACCCTCAGTTAATTCCAAAAGTTCAAGTCTGAGTGAACTTCTGATTAATATTAATCACAAACACCACCAGTTTACCATGCAAACATTTTAATTATTTGAATTGCTCTCTTCCAAGCATGAAGAGACAGAAGAACCACTCCATGGTGGTATTTCCTATGACAGTGACAAAGGACCACTTGCTTATACCTTAAATATAATAAATTCCTGTTTTGTATAACTGAGGCTGAATACCCACAGGATATTATTAGCATTTCCCCTCCAGCATCTGGTCTAATAAAGAAACACAGAACAGCTTTGCTGTAGTACAAAAGTTTACAGAAAGTTCAACAATTTAATTGAAGACAATACAAAATACGTTGTCTGAATTCAAATAATTTATGTAAAAGTACATGCATGAGAAAATACTGGCAAGAAGATTTGGGTAACCCTATTATCAGATGCATGTTCTTCGTTCCTAGAGATAACATACAGTCAAAAATACATGTATAATTTAAGTTACAAAAGTAGACAGTATTTCAAACACAATTTTGGGTCTACCAGCCCTTCAATGCAAAAAAAATTCCTGTTAACATGGGACAAAGTGATAAAAAAAAAAAAAAAAAAAAGAAAAAAAAAATAAAAAAACACAAAAATATATTAAAAAAAAGAAAAAAGAAAAATAAAGAGAAAAAAACCCAGAAGAAACCATAAAATTCTTCTTTTGGAGAAACAAACTGGAGGTTTCCCATTGTGCACACAGAGACAACTTGAAACACTGAAGTCTTATCACTTTACATCCTTTGTAGAAGTTAGATTTTATTCCCAAGGGGGAAAGAGTCTTCAGGCCACCCTGAAGAATAAAGAATAAAGAAATTAAAGCATTYGGACAGCAGATTTGGCTCAGAGTCATCCCTTACCTGTGCTGGGGCTGTTTTTCCAAACAGTGGAAAAGGACTTGGGGAGCACTTTGGGAGTAGAGATAAGGCTGGTTTGGAGATGAGTGCTAATGTCCTTTAAYGTATTATTTACCCTTTCCTGGTTATTTGCTCTCTAATCTTCATCTCCTTGTGCTGCTCATGCATCTCTCGCAGTGTGACAACATTTTTCTGGGCTTCATTTTGGTGAAAAACTCATGAATTTCAGTTGAGAGGGTTGGGGTGCAGCTCACATGGATTGAGTCATGGTTGGCTTCTTGGCAGGGATGGGTCTGACATTTTAAGAACTGTTGGGTCTGAGTATTCCAMTCTGAATTGTCAGAGTTGGCTTTCCCATGTCACTGATGGATAAAGGAGGTGGAATTGGGATAATGTTGAATTTTTCACCCTGAATATCTTAATTTTGTACTTCAAGGTTTTGCATTCAGCTCAGACACAAGGTGAATGTTCATCTCCACTGATTGATATTATGCTATTGACTGGTTTAAGATTAGCATTTCAGCCTTGATCTCTTGATATATGGATTTTCAGGCAGAGTTGAGAAAATGTCTTATTTCTTTGCTCTCAGAACCTCCATGTGTTTTTTATTTTCACAAAGAAGTTTTACTTGAAGCCAACTCGGGATCTTCGGTATTGCAGATTGGCTTCTGACAGAAAGGAAAATTTAGCCTTTGGTGAATTAACACCCTGTTTCTCTTTCCCTTCAGGCAGGAAATATGTAGGAGTAACTCTATATGGCAGAATTAAGTAATGTCCCAGTAATACCCCAATAACGTTCTGTTTATCTGTAATATATGTGTATATGTAATATATGTATATATGTGTGCATACATACAGAAAATAAACACAGTCCAGGCTTTTGGTCCAATTTTGCCATCATTATATGCATTTGTAAATGAAATTAATGAAATAACAAAGGAATAAATACAAATGTAAAAGTAATAATTTAAAAGCTACAGCTGTGCTTGTCACTGTCATTTAAGAATAAAAAAATCAAGGATTTTGTCCCTCAGATTAATAGTGTGCTYTTATTTCAGATAAACCTGCAGAAGAAGATGCGAGTCACTGGAGTTATAACCCAAGGTGCCAAGAGGATTGGAAGTCCAGAATATGTGAAATCCTACAAAATTGCATACAGCAACGATGGGAAGGTGTGGACAATGTACAAAGTTAAAGGCACAAAGGAAGACATGGTAAGATTAAGTCAGCTGTATCTGAATATGGTTTATCTGCCTTCAGAATTATGAGTTGTCTCTGGTCTTTAAGCCTAATTGCTTGGCAGTAWGATCTAGGTTTCACTATTACTATTTTTCTCTGGAAAAAAAAAAAAAATATATAAATAAATTGCATTTTCTCCCTGCTAAGAATTTCTTATACCTTAATTGATGGCTGCATAAATACTATTTCCCCAAGATAGAATAATCCTGTTTATTACACTTAACTGATTTTCATATTAATTAGTTTACCAGTAATTACTCACTACTCTGTTTTCAATTTAGTTTTATTACATTGGCAGATTAGAGTTAACCCTTGGAAATGCAGAACCCATTCATCAATGCTAATCTCTGTGCTGCACAAACAGTATCATCCAATGGGGTGTGTGTGTTTACAGTTTGCAGTTTCCACTTATTTTTTGATGGAGCTGTGCATACAAAAAAAAAAAAAAAAAAAAAAAAAAAAAAAAAAAAAAAAAAAAAAAACCACACAAAACCAAAAAACCCCAAAAAACTCAACTTTATTATGTAAGTTTGCATAGAACTAAGGCACTTTCCAGTGTCAGATGTAGTTTATCTGTCAAAAAGATCAAAATTCTGTGTGAGGAGGTGCATAATGAGGGGGAAAAGCATAGCACAAGGATATTTGGTTAGAGTGGGGGGTGAATAGGTAAATGCTGATAAGTTTAATTCATCCTCCCCTGTGATGGATGGGAGAGTTACAGTGAACTTCAGCACGAGCTGGATCAGATTCTGGAACCAGAGGGGAAAGAAATAAACGTCAATCAGCGCAAATAATCTCAGGCTGATTCGAATTGGGACTATTTTATGCATTAATCAAGAAAAGMAGGCATAATTTAGATAATTTAGTTGCATTAGTAGCTTCACTTTCTGGGAGTGACAAAATAGAGATGTTGGCTCAACACGAGTGGCAAACTCATCACGATGTGACCCCAAGATTATTTCTCTGATAAATTTTTGTGGGACACTAGAAATGCTGAAACAGCTGCAATTTTTGGGGGGAAACCTCTCAAGTGGGAATTCAATGGTGCTCCAGAGATCCTCCTGATGCATTTCTGTAAAAATCTGTCTTCCCCACTCAGGTTTTCCGTGGGAATGTGGACAACAACACACCCTATGCCAACTCCTTCACGCCGCCCATCAAGGCTCAGTACGTCCGTCTGTACCCCCAGGTGTGCAGGAGGCACTGCACACTCAGGATGGAGCTGCTCGGCTGCGAGCTCACAGGTGGGAGATTTCTGCATTTTCCAGCCCTCCACCCCAACCAGCAGCCCTAATCTGAGTGCATTTCCTTCCTCGTGATGTGTATTTTAGTCATCTCTTTTTGTGCAGTTAGCTCTTTTTATCTGAGTTGAAAAATCAGCAAAGTTAAGCTGAGCTAAATGGCAATGGTCAGGACGGAAGAGAAGAGGGGTATCAACTTGATAAATCTTCATAATTTTTTCTGTGCACGTTAATCTTCAATTGGTCAACCTCAATAAGGGAATAATAATAATTTTAAAAAGTACTGATGGCTATGTGGGCTTTTAATGTACCACCCTGAGCCTAACCCAAGGGATGAAAATGATTCCTGAGCCCCAGAGTTGGTTGTGCACTGCTGTGGACCCATCAATTGTCACCCCTRATTTGGGTAATTCCTCCTGGCTGCAGGGTGACACCACCTCTGTGCTGCTTCCCCTGCCATTGAGGACCACCCCAGTAAAATAAAACTTGGCTTTATTTTACTGCTGCTTTAATCAGGATTTCATTTTGAATTTGTTTCTTGGGTTTAGCAGAAGCAGGGAAAGCGTCTTGCAGCAAAAAAAGTAAATGAACAAGCGRAGCCAAATATAAAACCTTCTCAGATTCGTGTTAGGGCTCTGAAATGTAAAGCCTGACCTCTAGCCACCTTCTGAAAGAACTGTGTTGCCTTAACAAATTCRGTAAAGCATGTAAATTCTTTATCTTTTTCAAGGGATAAACCTTTCACTGGCGGGAGCACTCCACTGGTTCATTGAAGAGTGATTTTCATGTAGCTGCCTGTTTACTCTACAAACAATTGTCCTCCAGTTCACGAATGATACATCAAAACAGCTGGAGTTAAATAATTCTCAGTCCTCTAGTGACTTCAAAACCAGATTCAGAAATAAAAAGTTAATGCATTAATCTCGGTGTGGCCCTTTTCCAATATAGATGGGTTTAAGAGCAAATAGAAATTTCTGTCCGACTGCTTTGCTCTATTAGTTTGGTTCTGTTTTTTTCATGTCTCCCACTTCTGGAACCACAATTTAGAGTAAATTCTTGCCAGAATGACCAGGAATTGTTTTGCTCAAAGAACTGTGAAAGCTAGTGAAGTGAATTCATTTCAGTGGTCTCCTAACAGTTTCAAGGTCATMATTCTTAAAACTGTGGACAGCAAAGGCTCAGCAGAACAATTTCATCCTTACTGAAAGAAGAGTGTAAATTACACAGACTAATTCACTCCTAATTCCAGGTGTTCTGTCTTGGGTGGAAAAACATTTTGAGAGATCTGGTCTCCTCTCACACGCCCAGCTGCTAGAGAATAGAGGGAGACTTACAGCATCAGATTATCACAAAAAGTAACTCCTTCTTAGGACAAAACTTCAGAAAAAATGTTCAGTGCAATCTGCTTTAGTCTCATAAATAGCTTTACTTACCAGGATCCACAGTCAGATTATTGAAAAGCAGGATCAATGCTGGTGGAGTCARCCATCAATAAATTAGGCATTAATTTTCATGGCCCTGTGTTCCTGCCTTGCTCRTGTTTTGCACATCTCTGTGTCCTCRATTCCCTTCCCTTCACAGAGTATTGACGTGGGGGGAGAGAAACAGACCACAGCTACTGTTTATTAGGATGCCTTTATTCATTAAGCTGTTATTAATAACTGCACCAAGCTGTTGATTTTTAAAAACAGATCGGTGTTCACCCAGCAGTGTCACTTACTCRCAGAGCTCACTCCTGCACTCAGACATCTGCTTCTCTCAGGCATCCCCTGCCATTTGCTGYTGRAAGTTGTGTTTTTTGGTGCCTCTGMCYTGKTTTTGGGGTTTTTCAGTTCTTGCAGAGGGATGTTTGCCCCTAAAATGTGAGATTGACTCTCAGTAATCTTCTGCCTCATGCAAAATTCACATGTAAAGGGGTTTTGTAACACCTGCATTTAATGTTAGATTCTTCTTTCTTTCTTAATCCTCTAAATTGTCTAATCTGGAAAGGAATTATAGATTTATTATCCTTATTAGCACCCTTATTATCTAATACATTTGTACCTGTTCTAGTGTGAGGTGTGTTCTAGCCCATAGAAGCGAGGTTGGAATTAAATTTGAAACCAGAGGACYTTTAAAACCCSTCTCAACCCAAACCATTCTATGATTYATTAATACGATGAAAAACTTTAAAATCTCTCMATTTTATAGAAACAATATCACAGTATGCATTAAAAAGAAAATAATCACCTTTGTCCTCAAATAATTGACTATGCTGCTTTTGCCAATTCTACACAAATCTTTGTCCAAGTCAAGGCTCATGCAGAGTCTTGCATGCAGATCCATTTGTGGATTTGCTTTTGTTACATTGGATGTTGAATATTTCCACTGAGAGTTTGAGCTTTCTCAAAAAAAAAAAAAAAAAAAAAAAAAAAAAAAAAAAAAGAAAAGAGGTAGATGAGGCAAATAAAATACAGAATGAAGATTAAAAGATTGTGTCCCAGGAGAGTCAACATAAAAGTAACTTTTGAGTTGATTTTTCCAATTTTCAGGTGCTGATCCGCACTCCTTCTCATTATTTTCATTGAGCACTTGTTTTCATAGGACAAGTAAGACATGCAAACTTTTACCTTGTTGGAGTTAAACATGCAGAGGTATCAGGTATCATTTATCACACGTGGAGATATCCAAAACATTTCAAACATTCCAGGCTGAGGTGCTCCACTGGACGTACCCATGAGTGTGTCTGCATCAGCTGTTGCTGAATGAAAATGGTGAAAATGAAAATGGAAATTGAATCCTTTCACAGAGACATTAAAAAAATAAATAAATAAATAAATAAAAATTAAAGCTACAGTGCAGCAGGGAGGAGATGTTTCAGGGAGACATGAGCATTATTGAGGGATGGCCACCTGCAGACACAAAGCTGATTTGGGGATCGTCAACATAAAAGTAACTTTTGTGTTGATTTTTCCAATTTTAAGGTGCTGATCTGCACTTTTTCTCATTATTTTCATCAAGCACTTGTTTTCATAAAACAAGTAAGACATGCAAACTTTTACTTTGTTAGAGTTAAACATAGAGAGGTATCAGGTATCATTTATCACATGTGGACATATCCAAATCATCACAAACATTCCAGCCTGAGATGTTCCACTGGATGTACCCATAAGTGTGTCTCCATCAGCTGTCACTGAATGAAAATGGTGAAAATGAAAATGGAAATTGAATCCTTTCACAGAGACATTAAAAAAAAAAAAATTAAAGTTACAGTGCAGCAGGGAGGAGATGTTTCAGGGAGACATGAGCATTATTGAGGGATGGCCACCCTGATTTGGGGATCGTCAACATAAAAGTAACTTTTGAGTTGATTTTTCCAATTTTCAAGTGCTGATCCGCACTCCTTCTCGTTATTTTCATCGAGCACTTGTTTCTCATAAAACAAGTAAGACATGCAAACTTTTTACCTTGTTTGATTTAAACATGCAGAGGTATCAGGTATCATTTATCACATGTGGAGATATCCAAAACATTTCAAACATTCCAGGCTGAGGTGCTCCACTGGACGTACCCATGAGTGTGTCTGCATCATCTGTCACTGAATGAAAATGGTGAAAGTGAAAAAGGAAATTGAATCCTTTCACAGAGAAAAAAAAAAAAAAAAAAAAAAAACAAAAAAAAAAAAAAAAAAAAAAAAAACAGGGAGGAGTTGTTTCAGGGAGACATGGGCATTATGTGAGGAACGGGAGGCTGCTGCTCTCTTTGACACAGCACATTGTCCTGCCACCACGTTCTGAGTCTCACTGTTCTTCTCACTTTCTCCTTCCCAATCCTTTTGGGGCCACGGAGAAGTGTAAAATCCCATTAATTCACGCACGCACAGGCACATGGGCAAGCACAGCTGTTGTTTCATAAATCAATAATAATTCTCAGAAAAGATAGAACTGGTTTTGTTTTTTTGATGGATTGGGCCAGCACTGAATCACAGCTTTTGACAACCCATGGTTTTTTGTGTCATGAGCCTCCTTCAGACTCAGATGAAACATTCTTGCTCACAGTCCTTGTGATGCTGGAGTGATACTTCAGGATTTAATAATGAGCAAAGTCCCTCTCTAAAGCAGCAGATTAGTCTCTCTCATTCGAATACCACGAAAAGCTATCAATTGCTCCCTCCCACTCCCAGGAAAATTGTTTTTGTGGTGGTTTTGAGAGGGCTGTGCAATTTCCAATTGTGCGCTGAGAATCAATTCTGAAAGAATGGGGATTTTTTTTTTTTTCAAAAGTTAACTCTGCTTTCTCTTATTTTTCATTTGTTTCCTTGGCTTGTTTCAATTAACATGAAATTATTTATTTTTTTTTATTTTTTTAAAAACATTTAAACTTTTTTTTAAGATTATTTTTTTTTTAAAAAAAAAGTATTTAAAAATTTTAAATACAGGAGATATTTTTGGTGTTATGTGTGTCTGGTAATGCATGCTCACTCCTTCTGTTAGACCTCCACAAAGGGCCTGTGGTCTTGCCTTCCTGACCGAATCTCTGATAATTTCACTTAATTCTGTGCATTTTACCAGTGAGAAAAACAGAACACAGAATCTGGCAGAAAGGTCTTTTCCTGTAATACCAAAAAAACTTAAAAAAAAAATAATCAGGTCTTTAAATGTGGATAAAAATACTGTGAGGAAAATAGACTTTTAGGGCAAAGAGAACCAGGGATGTTAAATGGTTATTGGCGACTTAGCAGAGTCAGGTGGGTGGGTTCCTTGAATTTGTAAAGCAAAAACTTTKGGATAAATACACATATACAAGGTTTTGACTGCTGGGGCAGGAAGGAAATGAGAAAATACATATTTTTTTTTTTACATTGCCATGTGCATCTTTTCCATCTTTCAGCTCACCTTCAGTGAAGCTGCTAAGCTTCACTTCATGTCCCCATAGCCACACATCCACCTTTCCTGTCCTCTTAAACCTTCTGTTTCTCAGCCCCTTGCCTTTATTTTCTGATCTTTTGTTTAAATCTTAAAACTACGCCTAAAAACTGTCTGCCTTCTTTACTTTCCAGTCCTGTTTTTTCCATGCTGCTGTTGAAGGGTTTCTCTCCTGTTCCATCTCTTTTCTTCCAAATGCACTTTCCATATTCCCAGCACAGAGCATCAAGGGAGAGGAACACAAAGCGACTTATGAATTTTTATTCTTATATTTTTTAATTCAGAATAGAGAAGGGAGAAGCTCAAGATCTATCTTTGCTGCAGTCAAAATAACTCAATGGTGTGGGATGTCCACAAGCAAATAAGCCATTAATTATTGATATCTCCTAACTGATAACCTACTGTTCTCCCTCCTTCACAATTGTTTGTTGTTGTTGGCTTTTTTTTTGGTTTTTTTTTTTTTTTTTTTTTTTTTTTTTTTTTTTTTTTTTTTTTTTTTTTTTTTTTTTGTGGTCACCCACTCCTTCAGTGGGGTTTTGGACTTTCTGGATTTTTAGCTAAATTCAAAAGTGTAAAAGAGTGCTTGTGAACATTTTATTTCAGCAGTGGCTTTGAGAAAACTTAATATTTCCTTGGTAAGCAAACATATGGTTGATGTGAGATGGCATAAAAGCACAAGGAAAATCAAACTGAACAGGGGAAACAATGTTTTCCTGCCGGACAGGAAAATAAAAATGAGACAAGCGCAGACAAAAGTCATCTTTTCATTTTGTTTCGCTTCATATATTTATGCCAGGATAAAATATGTTGAATTCTCTATCTTGATTTTGAATCACCCAAGCAATTGTTGAAACAAAGTGCCTGGAATTGACTATTTTTCATGTATTTGTTTTTGMGCTCCTTCAACAATAGTCTTGATTAAAGCCTTTTTTTTTTTTCAAGAATCTCAATTTTTCTTTGCTGTAACAGAAAACCTAAAACTACAACAGAGAAAAATAGCAGCACGACTGATCTTATCCTGCTGTTCCAGGTTGCTCTGAGCCCCTGGGGATGAAATCAGGGCACATTCAGGATTTCCAGATCACCGCCTCCAGCGTTTTCCGTACGCTCAACATGGACATGTTCTCTTGGGAGCCCAGGAAAGCCCGGCTGGACAAGCAAGGCAAAGTCAATGCCTGGACCTCTGGCCACAATGACCAGTCACAGTGGCTGCAGGTAAATTTCCACGTGGATTTTCCCAGATTTTTTTTTTTTTTGTGTTCTTCTGGTTTGGTTTTATATTTATATTTTTCTGTTTCTGAGCGTGACCATCCAATCTCTTCCACATGTAAGTGATGAAAGTCCAACAGATCTTCACATCTTTGTTGCCACAGCTGCTGAAAACCCTACTAGGGGTTTGCTCCACTAATTTTCATTTGAAATAAACAAAAAATGGTAGCTGCAGATCTGTTTCACTGAATTCTCCTCATTTGTTGAGTGAGATGAGTTCATCTCTTTCCCTTTCTGTCCTTCCAAGGATCCCCTGGAAAATCATATTTACTTTTGGCTCYGTAGTAAACCTTATCACCTTAGCAAATCCCATACACAGAAATTATCTTTGACTAATTAAGGCYGCTCAGAATTTCCTCCTGACAGAACTCTGGAGCCAGCCAGCTCCAGAATTCACCTGAATTCATCACAAACCTGTGCACAGGGGTTTGTTTTCAGCCCATAAGTGATTTATACCAGTCGCTAACATGACATATTGCAATAAATCGCCATTGTGGAAGCCTATTTGACCAGCCACTGACACATTTACATTTTTTTGAGCTGTTGAAAATAGCAATTTTCATTCATCTGCCAGTTTGCAGTGGAGTTCTCAGTGGGAAGCCTCAATGGCACTAGACATGGCTACTAACCCCCTGCAATCCCTTCACATTTAAATTATGACATATTAGCCCTTTTTTCCTACAGTTGCTAAGCAAGTTAGGAATATGATTATTGGGGGTTTTTTTTGGTTTTTTGTTTTTTTCTCCCAAGTTTGCACATCCTCTGTAAAAGGAAGGTGCAGTTGCCTTATTTGTTTAACTTTGGAATAGCTGAAGATCACAGATTTTGCTAAAATTTTTTTTAGAGTAGCTTGTTGGAACAGCAGTTAGTAACTTCTGGAAGGGATGAAAATTTCATGGCTGTGTTTTATGGTGGACAAGAAGACGAAAATATTTCTCTGCAGGGAAAGAGAGGTGGTTGCATCATATTTGAGCCCCATCAGTGAAACCAAGAATGTGCAGGGATTCCACACAGAAATTTCCTATTTTGTATTCTTGATCCTGTGGACGACAGTGGATTTTTAATTAACTACAGATGGCAAGGGGTTGCAGAGTTAATCCTCATATTCTAAAATTTTTCATGCTGTTGTAAATCCTGCTATATTTGAATTTACTTGAACCTGCAAAATTAATCTGACCACTCACACAATCTCTGCAAGTCCTTGGACTGTAAGGAATAGTTCTCATTTTCTGGTCAAAAAGAAAGCTTTGAAGAAATACTCATTTTAATTACTCATATGACTACATATTGAGTTCAATAGCTTTATGGCAATATTAGCAATCTACCTTTTCCTGSAAAACATTATACATAATGATATTTCTTCAAAAAAAAAGGAACTTAACATTTCATTTTCAGGAGAAAAAAAAATA